CATTCATGTCCGGTTCTTGTTCGACGTAAGACCACACCATGGCAAAGTAAGACCATACCTTGGCAAAGTAAGACCATACCATGGCAACGAACGTCTTATGCAGCACGCTCGGCCCCTCAGCGCCGTCATGCCCGGTTTACCGATGACATTCACCGCTTTGTATCACATCTTACATGCCCCTCTCATACATTACACTTATACATCACATGCATTCATACATTCATGCATCATCTCTCATGCATCCATACATACATGTACATCATATCGAGCCAGTTCAGCGTCGTCAGCTTATATTGTGCAGGGACCTCTACGCTTCTCCATTGGAAAGCTCGAGTCAGAGTCCTCTACTCCCACCTGATACATTCAGAGGGAGAGTGTACGGGGAAGAGCATCCCTTGCCCGACCCCGTCGGGAGGGGAGCGTCTTACCGACAGGTTATATTCAGAGGGGCAGACACCCACTCATATATTATGATTATTCGATCAGAGGAAGAGCACAGGCAAGAGTATATTTTCTCGATCAGATTCGCACGCTCACTACTCAAGAAACTGGGAGACTTGTGTTGGGATATATTATCCCGGCCTATTACTGTTCAGGAGTCCAAGACTTCACGTAGTACGAAGCCCAATCAGTAAGGCCCATTTTAGTCTATCAGGTCTGTTTCGGCCTTTGGGCCCATTTCTGTCCATTCGGCCCGTTAGGGTGGAGAGCCCCCCTTCCCCCTTTATCTATAAATAGGAGGAGTTCCCTCCTTATCAAGGACCCTTTTTAGCTTCTTCTTCCTCCCCCTTCCCCCTTCAATACCCCATTAATGGAAGCTTGTACATTGTAATGGTGAGGAGAGCATTAATAAAATCAGAGGGCTTGGACATTAGCCTAAATAGTCCCGTGGTTTTCTCCCTTTCCGGGTTTCCACGTAAAAATAGCTTGTTTTACATTGTATTATCACCTCATAGCCACGAAACCCTCCCGGAAGGGGTGTTGAACTTCCGGGCTACGGCGAATAAACTATACAATAATGATTCATTGTATTTATTTGTGGAACGTTTAGCTTAGGGATGGACTCAGGTCGGGTCAATCGGCTCGTAACTGACCCAACCCGGCCCGGCCCGGTACCCGGTACCCGGTCCTGTACACCCGAACCGCCAGTTTTCGGGGCGGGATCCGGGTCTCCAGAAAGTGAACCGGCCCAGCCGGGTCAATTTTTTTTTATTTTTCACAATTTTTGGGAGGTAAATGAGTTGGGCTGAGTGTTTTGGAGGGGTTTGGGGTGTGGGTGGGGGATAGGAAGTAATTTAAAAATAAAAAAAATCGGGTCAACTTGCCCTACCCGTACCCGGTAGCTACCCCGGTTTCGGTTCCGGGCCTCAATAAACCAATAAAAAAGCCCGATCAGACCCGACCGAACCGGCCTGAGTCCATGCCTAGTTGAGCTGATAACATACAAGTCATACAACCATAGGACGTATATGATGCCAACATTTCTTATATCCGTTCTCAAAGAAAATTAGTAGAATTGAAACATGATAGAACTAGTCATTATTTCAATGATATCTAATTTTGTTTAAAGAACCAAACTTACGACCCTTACAATGTTTTTTTTTGGACCGAAATTTACTGGTCTGGTATGGTCTGATTTGATCTGGTCTGAACTGTTCTACTAAATGTCTGGTCTCTATGTGTTTTATAATTGTCCAAGACTGATCTGGTCTGGATTGGTTTGTTTAAGTCTGGTCTGGTTTGGTCTGGTCTGGTCAGGTAAATGTCTGGTCTCTATGTATTTTATAAATGTTCAAGTCTGGTTTGATCTGGTCTGTTTAAGTTTGGTCTGTTTTTTTTTAAGTCTGGTCAAATCTGATCTTGTCTAGTCTGTGACGAACACTGTCCAAAAAGAAAACATCCTTAATTAGAAAGAGACAACCTTTAAATATTGAGATAAATCTCTCAATAATAATAAAACATTAAAGAGTCCATTTAATTAGACATTTTTCTCTTATTTCACGCATGCATCGTACTTATGATTGCACGAAAGATGCTCACAGTATAGTATTCTTTTAGAACTTTCCATACTTTAATGAGAAAAGGGTCAAATAAGGTCTTCTACTATTATGAAATCGTCGCATAAGATCATGTACTCAATAAAATGTCATATAGATATGTCTACTTTTAAAAAGCAATCGGATGAGTCCTAACGACCTTTTGACAACCTCGTAATCCCAGTTTTAGCGTACATCTGACTATTTTTTAAAAATAGATTATAAGGCTGACGTGAAATATTTAGCCAAAATTTGCTTAAATTCAGGGCAAAAATAACGACACATAAGCTAAAATCGGGATTATGACTCACATGATTGTTTTTTTTATAAGTAGACGTATTTATATGACACTTTATTGAGTACATGACCTTATGTGATGATTCTGTGATAGTAGAAAGTCTTATTTGACCCTTTTCCCCATTTTAATTTTACCACACCTTTTTTAATAAGCTTTGACTTTCAAACTAAATACTTATGCCATTATTATTTCATTTCTTAAAGAGTGAATTACCTATATAGTATAAAAAAGTGACCAAAAAACACAAATAGGACTACATCTTTTAAATTCTTCCCAGTAAGATTATTTATGTGTGTTTGGATAAATATACCCTTATAGCTTTTGAAATGTCTAATTAATAATAAAATCATAAATAATAATAATCATAAAAAAATAATAAAACGTAAAAAATAACAAAAAAATATTATATATTTATAAAATCAAAATAAAAAATATTTTAAAAAAATTAAACACGCAAAAAAATGTCGCCTCTGCCACCCCTAGCACCACAAACTCCCATCACCGGTCGGAAATTTGCCAACATTTTTAGTAATGTCATAATAATGGCAGATTTAATGAGATTTTTGGCATTGTGAAGATTAATAATGCCATTTTCTTGGCATTTTCAGGTTAGAATAGCATTTTTTACAAAAAATGACAGGATTTTCACCGATCGGAGGTGGTGGTACTGGGAGGCGGTGGGAAAGGTATCCATAATTCTTTTATTTTTTATAGGTTTTTAATATGTTTTATTAATTTTAAAAAATCAAAAATAAAATATTTTTAAAATTTTAATTTTAAATATTTTATTATTATTTTTATAATTTATTTACATTTTTTTATTTTTTATTATTTTTATGAATTAAAACATTTCATTATGAATTAATACCTTAGGGGTACTTCGAGTAGAAATGAAAACGTGCATGGGTAATTCAGTTGGTTGAGTGGTGAAAATTTTGGATCAAGAATCAATGTTCGAATCCCGCAACGATCGTGTGGAGGTTACAACATCTGAAATAGGTTGGACCTCTGGCGCGCATGAGTATATGAGGCTACTCTCACTTCGTTGACTGAGTCACTATGATTTACATCCTCCCACTACCCTGTCGTGTAGGGGCGCGGGGGCTCCAGGAATGGGAGATTCCACCTTTTGGATCAAGAGTAGAAATCAATATTTAGTCCTAAGTAAAGGGAATTATAAATAAAAATTACCCCAAATAGGAGTAAAACTATGACAAAAATAAAAAAGAGGACATCTTATGTTTTTATTCCAAATTAGATCATATTACTCCTAGGGATGGACCCATGTCGGTCCGATTCTGGGTCCGAGCCGGGCCCGCGCGGGCTTTTTTTGCAAAATGTTGGGCCCGGAACCGACTCGGGTTGATACCGGGTCCGGGCCTAACCGGGCCGGGCCGGGCCCGGGTCAAGTTCAATTTTTTTTTGGTTTCTAATTAACATCCCCCCCTTCACCCCCACCCCTCAAACCCCCCCAAAACACCCAACCCTAACCTAGAAAAGCAAAAAAAAATTGAAAAAAAAAATCGAACCATACCCGCCTCGAACCGTCCGGGCCGGTTCACCAAAAGTTGGGCCCGAGCCCGGCCCGCCCGACCCGCCCAAACGGGCTAAAAGCCCGGAACCGGCCAACCGGTCCCGGTCCGGTCCGGGCCCTAACAGTAACGGGCTGGGCCGGTTCCGGGTCGGGCCGGCCAGGTTTAGTCCATCCCTAATTACTCCTATTTGAAAACATACCTATTTTTTTCATTCCATTCTTACATCTCCTTTAAATATGAGTAAAAGGTAGTCAAAAGTCCTATTTAAATGTCTTAATTCATAATAAATTCATAAAAAATAAAAAATAATTATAGAAAGATAATAAAAAATAATAAAAATATTTATAAAATAAAAAATCATTTTTTAAAAGTTTAAAAATTAATAAAAAATAGTAAAAATCCATAAAAAATATGGATGCCTTTCCCACAACCTGTACTGCCTCTATGCACCACCACCACTAATCATTGTAAAAAATGCAATTTTTTCTATAAAATGCCATAAAAATGACATATTACTCATTGAGAATACCAAAATTTTCATTGAATCTGTCATAAATATGGTATTCCTAGTCCATGTGACATTTTTTTCTCCGGTGACTGGTGGTAGTGGTGCTGGGGCGGCAGTGGCGGCGGTGTTTTTTTTATACGTTTTTTTTTCTTAAAAAATTTAAACTATTATTTTTTAAATATTTTATTAATTTTTATTAGTATTTTTATGATTTTTTATTATTTTTATTATTTTGGTATGAATTAAAAGATTTCAATAGCTACAAGGGTATATTTGTCCAAACATAACTTATTTTTTGGCTATATTTGTGCAAACGGGTAGACTTGTAGTCATATATGCACAATTAACTCAGTTAAAAAGTACTCCGTATTAGTCCTGTTGGTAAACTTGTCCTATTGACGGTAATTTCTATTCTTTAAGAGTCATTCTTGTTGTACTCACTCTTATGCCCACGTTATATCCACGATGTCTGTGTATGTTTTTATCTCTTTAAATTCGGTTCACAGACAAAATATGTCTTATTTTATCTATGTAAAATATGAACACGCATATTTTGTCTAGATTCACAACAAAAAAAACTTTGAAGAAAAATGTGTGTACATCAAATTGTCTTTACACACACCTCTGTACACCAAAGGCGTACACAACCCAGTGCTACACCGGCCGTCATCCTCTCCCTGTCCCAATCATTCTTCTTCCCTTTTCTACGGTCACCCTCTGCAAAGTAGGAACCTGAACCAAAGTTCCATCGCCGAGCTTGAGAGTTTTCTCCATAAAATGGTTAGAAACGGCGATGTCCCATTTACATTCCCCTCTGTAAAGCTCCCTCTTTTCTCATTTCCACCGCAGGCCTCCATCTCTAACCAGTTACTCTCAAGCATCCACCTTCCTCTCAGCAAACTCCCCAAACTCCCAAATCCATTCGCCCAAAACTTCAATCCGCAAAACGTGCTAACGAAATTCCTGCAACACACATTTCACAAACCCATCAGAAGATTCAATTCCTACCCCGGGTCACCGCTTCTCTGCTGCTCGTCACTGTCGTTGAACCAGACTCGGGAAACTGATGCTGACACGGTGGTGGCTCAGCAGGTGCAGCAGAAGAATGCTGGGGATGAGAGGGTTCTGATAAGTGAGGTGTTAGTGAGGAACAAGGATGGTGAGGAGCTTGAGAGGAAGGATTTGGAGGCTGAAGCTCTCAATGCGCTCAAGGTTTGCCGAGCAAACTCCGCCCTCACTGCCAGGGAGGTCCAGGACGATGTGCATAGGGTTTTTGCGAGTGGATATTTCTCCTCTTGCATGCCTGTAGCTATGGATACCAGAGACGGGATTAGGTTGGTTTTTCAGGTACTTTTGGGAACTGTTTGGTACTAAGTATAATAATGTATAGACTCCTCATATGCACTAGGTTAGATGTGGTGAATACTGGTTTAAGGATGTGTTCATTTACAATGTGCATAGATAATGTGTGTTGATTGGGTACTACATAGCTAGAACTGATCTGTGGGGGTTGGTGAAATGATAAAAGAGCTGTCTTGGAAGCAAGAGCCCCAAAATGTTTTCATTCTACATTGTGTTTTCATGGGTTAGTGTGTTGGGTACTAAGTCAAATAAATCAAAATATGTGATGAATGGACACAAACTATTTAGAATTTGATATAGGAACGGAGGAAAAACCCAAGATCGGAATAGAAGAGTGATTTTTCATAGATCGATTCATGTTAGCCGACCCCAAATTCTTTTGGGATTAAGGCTTGGATGTTGTTGTTGTATTTATTTTAAAAGGTAATTATATGCACATTTGTATGTTTAGACTGCCCAAATTCTTTTGGGTTCATTTCACAATTCATATTTGTTTTCGGACTATTTCGCATAGCTCATTATCCATGTGTGAGGATGATCTTAGTTCATTTACTGAGTCAGTAGCCACCGACAATAATATGTATGCTTGTATGTTTAGACTGCCCAAATTCTTTTGGGTTCATTTCACAATTCATATTTGTTTTCGGACTATTTCGCTTAGCTCATTATCCATGTGTGTGAGGATTATCTTAGTTCATTTACTGAGTCAGTAGCCACCAACAATAATATGATACTCCCTCTATCCCAAACTAAAGGGAACATTCTGTATTACAGGGTTGAGTGGTTGATTCAAGTTAGTTACGGAGTACCATTTAATTTTTAGTAATACTAAATTTAGTACGGAGTATTAATAGTTAATAGTTACATACTATGTATTTTAAAACTACTCCTGAAGTTCTATTATCCCTAAAAGTTGAATTCAAATCTGAGAAAGTAACTCACTTTTAATGAATTAGTTTGACTCCCATCATAAATAATGAGACTAATAATTGAGACCTATGGAGTAGTAGGTATCTCCAATTTTACTCTCTTTGCCTGACCATGTTCACGATTGGCTGTGATACCTTTATATGCACTCTAAGGAATTTGCTTTGCATGTATATTTTTCACTTTGCATGCATAGTTTAGCATTTTATATTTATCTGGTGACATTTTTTGCTATCAAAACTACCGGCATTTGTGATGAAATATTTTGTTAATGGTTAATTCTCAATGGCCTTTGTATGATACAATTGCAAAGTTTTAATGCTAAAGTGCAAAACATGTTATATGAAATGCATCCTCATAATTCTTGCTATTTCTTCAAGTGAATTGCCCAATACAAGGAGAAAAATCATATGTTTACATGTTGAGTTCGAGGTTATTTCTCATACTTGTATCTATTGCCACAAGGTAGAGCCAAACCAAGAGTTTCGAGGCTTAGTTTGTGAAGGAGCCAATGTTCTTCCAGCAAAGTTTATAGAAGATGCTTTTCGTAATGGATATGGTAATTCTTCCTTTCTTAAATTCCACGCATTCGCTTAGGGATGTAAAGTGTAAACACATATGATACTCTACCTGTTGAGCATTTTTCCAATTTAAACCCGTTAGGAGATCTCATCTTAAACCCGTTTAATTGTAATCTCAAATTATAAGCCTGTCTAGACTCTAGTCCCGTTTATGGAAAACCTAAAAGTACCGGGCTCCTCCCGTTTGATGTTTCCATCTTGTCGTGCTTACCAAATACTCCGTACTAGTTTGAACCCCTCCATTTTCTGAACCTGAGCACATTTAAAATTTCAATATTAAAAAAATAATTATGACTTATTAGAATAAAAGTTCATTTTCCATCATTTGCAATGGAGCCAAAGATTCATTATTTTTTGGCTTGAGATTATGATGGAATAAAGAAAAATGGCTTACTAAATTGTCTGCGCTTCTTTGTTATGAAGCAGTAGTCGGTCCATGCAATTTTGGACGCGATTTTCACTATGGGTCATCCGGAAACAGTCTCTCCCTGCTTTATTGCAGGGGTAAGACTGCTTACATCCGACCCCCCCTTACCCCACCGTAGGTGGGAGCCTTTGCGGCACTGGGGTAAATGAAAATGAAATGATGATTAGAATAAAAGTTCAAAAGTTCTACCAGTAAGTCTAGGTATGGTTAACTAGTTCACTCAGTTTATTTAAGGGACGTTTGGTTCACAGACTATAATATTAAGTTGGGTAATAAGATTAGCCCCTCAAAAGTAAGATTATCTTTAGGTGTTTGGTTCACGGAGTGGATATTACTATCATTAAATGGCTCAGAAGTCAGGACTAAATCAGAGAGTAGTCTAAAATATTACCAAGGTACCTACTACACCAAAGAATCCCAAGTTATTCTGATTACCCAAAAATGACCTCCTACAAGCTTGAACAGAACAAGGTAGATTTACAACAACTCTCTGACATTAGCAAGGGTTTATGAGAATACCTTAACCAAACACTCCATTATGGGTAACTATAATATATTCAGCTACGGTGTGATATACCTATTAGATGGGGTTTCAGAGACAGGTGGGTAGGTACCTACCATACAAATCCCAAAGCCGTCTCAAACGCGGTTGGTTATTAAAATATTTTCGCATACTCGTCTGAACTCCCATTTGATTTTTTAAATGGGTTCTATCAGGATCAGGCGGTCCCTGATACCATATCATATGTAATCCTTTGCCATACACACACTCACTAATCTACTTCTGATTATTTATGTTAGAGATACCTATATCATCTTATTCTTAATTTCTTATTAGCTTTTATAAATTCAAGCTCATGTTGGACCAATCATGTAATTGTCAAGTGATGCAGGAAAAATTGTTAACATTAGACGTGTAGATGAAATAATTAACTCTATCAATGGTTGGTTCATGGATCGGGGTCTCATTGGCATGGTTAGCTCTTTACCTCCATTATCTTAAAAGGAATTGATCTAGATCTATTTTTACTTTAATGCTTTCCCCCACCTTTTTTGTCTTTAGGTCTCGGGTATTGATATCCTTTCAGGAGGTATTATCAAGTTACAAGTTGCAGAAGCTGAGATCAATAACATAAACATACGCTTCTTGGATAGGACGTAAGGATCTAATAGATCGATAGTATTTTGAGTAAGAGTGCCACTTTTAGTAATTTCTTTTCTGATTATTCATTCTTTTTATCCAGTGGTGAGCCGACCATTGGAAAAACAAAACCAGAAACTATACTTCGGCTACTTACTACCAAGAAAGGGCAGGTTCATGTTCTGCTGGACCTTCTGCTGTTAGTTTTTTTCACTATATCAATTATTTTATGGTAAACGGCTGATTATCATTCAGGTGTATAGTGCGCTTCAGGGGAAAAGAGATGTGGAGACTGTGTTGTCAATGGGCACTATGGAAGATGTTAGCATCATTCCCCAACCTGCCGGAGGTAGTCTTGTATTTATTTGGTCCATGACCATTAGAGTTGTATTTATTTTTTGAGATTAACATGTTGATTTGTAGCAGATACTGGAAAGATTGATCTGACTATGAATCTGGTTGAGCGTAAAAGTCCTACAGGTATAAGTGCTGGTGGCGGACTTTCAAGTCGGTATGTGTTTTGCTTTACTGAAAACTACTACATTTAGGAACACTCTTCTTTGTTGAGATCTATTAACTTATTTATCTTTCAAATCTATAGGATCACAAATGGGCCTCTTGCTGGATTGATCGGAAGGTAATAATGGGTGTCAGTTATTATTCCTGTGTTACTTTGCTAATTTGTTGTTTTTTAATTATTATGATATCAATTTTTTTTATTAATGTGAGTGATTTAGAAAAACCAACCTTTCAAGCTTACGCTGTATTTCCATTTATTAGATTAGCATAAGAAATCCCAAAATTCCATTAGTTTCAACCATTATGGACATTCCAATGTCTACATTTCCGCATTTTCTGTCCATGAAGCTTTGCTCCAACATTTTGTCAGCTGTCACTTAATGTTAGATCATTTCTGAATTTACTTTGCATGTGTTGTGCTTATTTTGCTCCACATGTGCCATCGTTCTGCTGCTTTACAATTAGTTATTTTTTTTATCTTTCCCTCTATGAAGTTGCATATTATACTGCCAGTGTTTTGCTCAACCAGTTTTACTTACACGGTAATGTTCATGTCATTTTGTAAATGCTGCCTTTCCATTTACCATAAAAATCTTTTTGGGAGAAACCAAAAGCTCAACTTATCACTAGAAAGGGGGCAGATTGATTCAATATACCGGATAAATTACACAGACCCTTGGGTTGAAGGAGATGATAAAAGGACATCAAGATCGATCATGGTTCAGGTATAATTTAATCCAATACAAACTTTGTCATGTAAATAATTACAAATTGTGTTTTTTCTCTAAATTTCATGCTATGCCTAGAACTCAAGAGCACCTGGTACGCTTGTTCATGGGAACCAACCGGATAATAGTAGCCTGACTATAGGCCGTGTAACAGCCGGGATAGAATATAGCCGTCCATTCCGGCCGAAGTGGAATGGAACTGCTGGAATTATTTTTCAGGTACTGTGGTGATGCATAATTTTTACTTTATGGTTTTCATACGTGATTTCACTGGTTTTGGTTTCGTGTACATGAGTTGAATTAATGAAAGATGAAGGTTCATCATTCATGTTATTAATATGAAAAGAATAGCTATTATAAATGAACACTTTTAGGATTTCTCATGGTTTTAGTCACTTTTGATGCATTTTTACAGTCTTTTCAGGCTATTTCTTTCCATTTCTATTTATATCGAGTCTTCTTTTATGTCACAATATGTGAGAAGTATTCCTCATTGTGACCCAAAACAAAGTAAATTGTAATCTTCATTGGGTCAAACGAGAATGGAATTTCCGATCTAGGCTATTAAATGGATTATTTTAAGTCCCGATTGATATCACCACATGCATAATTCATTTATCCTCTTCTATACTGTTCCTTTCCTTCCAAGAGATACGGGTAAGCCATTAGTGTAGTGTGAACCTAATAGCTATGTCCTGAGTAAGTTGCAGGAAAATGAAAAATTAACCTATCCTCTGCTGCATAACTAGACATCTTTTGGGGAGTAAGTAAACTCATACCGTACGGTTTGTGTGTAAAGTAAAACTCACAAGAGTTAAAAAGAGAGAGCAGTTTGTTGAGTAAGAGGTTTGAGAAATGACATCTCTAGAGTTACTTAACTTTGTTTAAGAAGCGAGAGTAATGAAAGTTGTTAATGATTCTATCATTCTATGCAGATCATGGTTTATATTTCTTCTACTTTTTTTGCCTACGAAAAGTTATCTGGTTATTTTTAATTAGTAATTCATGTTTATATTCAGTTTGCGTTCCAACTGATATTTACTTTTATTTTAACTTGTAAACTTGCAGCGTGTCGATGTTCGTGATGATAAACGGAATCCTGTTATACGGAACTTCTACAGCAGCCCACTTACTGCAAGGTAATATATCATTTACATAAAGGAGGGATTTGTAGGGAAAAGTTTTGTCTCTTTGTAGGGCTTAGTTTATATCTTGATAAATATGGTGTTTCTAAAAAGGAATAATATGTGATTGAAATGTTATCAATATGTATATTATGGTATTTTTATAAATCAAAATCTCAAATTCATATCAAGATATACCGATTTAAACTATGACCGTAATAATCTCCCCCTCCAATACCCTGTGCCAACACTCCATCTAAAGCAATCCCTTAAACTCACTTTTTGGGGTGGTTTAGACCTTCACTGGCACTTTCGTTTGCAACTTTTCTGCAGCGGCAACACACACGATGATATGTTACTTGCTAAACTGGAGACTGTGTATACAGGTTCTGGTGACTCCGGTTCTTCAATGGTTCGCCTATAAAATTACTTATCCCCCTGTGACCCTGTCATGCTCGAATTTATTGTGGACATAGCCATGATATATTCATCTTCTATGTTTCACTTTTTCTTTATGCAGCTGGCTTTCAACATGGACCAGGGTATTCCTGTTTTGCCTGAGTGGCTACTTTTCAATAGATTAAATGCTCGTGCCTTGAAAGGCTTCGTTGTTGGTCCATTCCGTCTCCGTTTAAGGTATTCTGTAATCTGTATTTTTGAGCTTAAACATGTTATTTGTCCCTACACATGTTGCACTTTTTTTGGATTCATGCAATTTTTTTGTTTGTTTTTTATCTCTGCAATATACTCCTCAGGTTATTTTCGTTTTAGCCCTACTCCTGGGCAATCTCTATTAGTGGAGTTAATGGTAAATTGGTAATTAATCTAATTATTCACGATTTTAATATACAGCTCAATGGCTGTCTAGAAATAAAATTTAAGTATCTGTTGGAGAATGAAATATTTTGTTTGTTTTGTTGTCAAATGGATGTTGCTAGAGAGTCGACGAGGGACTAAAATGAAAATAACATAAATTAGAGAAATTAAAAACATTTTGCTGAGTGCCTAACAAAAACCACTTTATTTGTAGGGGCCAAGACATACTTCAGCCATATTTTTTGTGAATTTCTCGTTGTGTACGAGATAGAGATGTATCTAAATGGATTTCTCAGCTTTCACTAAATAATCATGTGGTTTATTAGAATATGGTGCTGGTTTTGATCGCTCTTTGTTGCTGGATTGTCAACCATCATTTGTATTTTTCTGCAGTTTATCTGGTGGTCATGTGGCGGGCAATTTCCCTCCCCATGAAGCGTTAGGGGATATGAAGATGGCGCAGTTGGCTCAAGTCGGTCATACACGGTTGGCTGCGGAGAAATTTCATTTCCCCTTGTAAGTGAAAGGCATTTCTGCCCTCCTTGACCGTGCAAATATAAGTTTAATGACCGTATGCATCTTTTTTCTGATAAATCACTTCTTATGTTGTGTTCCAGACGGGGCCGGCGGAAGGGGTTGTATTTGCTGATTATGGGACAGACTTTGGTTCCGGTTCCAGTGTGCCTGGTATGATGCTCTAGCGCTTTTCTTTCTTTGGCTGTCGTGGTTAGGATGAACCGAAATCGACCGACAAACCTGCAGAAACAGAATCAAAATTGACTTATGTTAATCAAAACTGAACCCATCAAAACCTCACTAACTAATTCGAAATGCAAAAACCAAACCGACAAACACCCCTAGTTACTGCTAGGCTGGGAAATAAAACAGCAAAACCAACCAACCGAAACAAACTAACCTAAAATAACTAAATCAAACCACCCAAAACCAACCAAAACGATCCAACCCAAGGCAGTCAGAAGCGCTCGCCCCAGCACTTAAGCGCCCTAGGCGCAGCGAGCAGAGCCTCCGACGCTTGGGAGAAGGGGAGGCGCACACACCTGGGTCAGGCGCAACATAAGCGCATGAAGCACATGAAGTGCTAAAGCGCAAGGAGGCACATGCCTGGGTCGCCTGATTGGGAAAAGGCTGATAAGTTTTTTTTTGGTTTAAAACTTTCAAAAATAATTAGCCCATATCTTTAATAACACTCAATAACACTCAGCCCATTTAAATAATAGGGTAAATCCATACTTGTCACGGCGTCGCCTAGTCGTTGACTAGGCGTCCTGGCGATGGGGAGTTCTCGCCAGGTACCCTCGCCTCGCTGGAAGAAGACCAGTCGAGCTTGGCGTCGTCCAGGTGTCGTCTAGGCGTGAATTTGGTGACAAGTCGCCGCCTAGTTTGGCCCGGTCAAACGCAGGGCGCAGGCTTAAAAAAATTAAAAATAGATAAAGCCCAAACTAATCTTACGGACTTCGTTGCCATCTTCGTCTAACTCAAGCAGCAAAGTCGTATAGTCGAAGCAGACGAACGTTAGAACTCCAGGAAGCAGAAGTCACCGGTCTCGCCCTCCCTCAGTCCGTCGTTGGAGGAGTAGAAGTCACCGATCTGGCGCTCCCTTAGTCTGTCGTTGAAGTAGTAGAAGTCGCCGGTCTCACCCTCCCTCAGTCCGTCGTTTTTGAAGCAAACGACCCGAGACCAGTACATTCCCAAGACCAAGGTCCACCGACCTCTATTTTATCTTCTCTTGTAATGGATTTAGTGTTTTTAATGTTTTAATTAATTAAGTACAAAGTATTTAAGTTGTATACTTATATATTTTTTATATATACATGTATACCAATATACGCACACAAATATATATATATATATATATATATATATATATATATATATATATATATATATATATAGGTTTTGGTTCAAATAAGAACATGATCTTAGGAGAGAAATGAGAATGATTCTGGACCGTTAGATTTGCTTTAAGTAAAATTCAATGTGCATTAGATGAAGTTGAAATGTGCATAATAAAAGGTATGATGTGATGTTATTTTTGTACCTTTTATTCCGCACATTTCAGTTTCACCTAATGCACACTTGAGTTTAAATTTTTATTCTGCACATTTTAATATCATCTGATGCACATTTCAGTTTCACCAAACGCACAATCCAGTCGCACATAATACAATCCAACGGTCCAGATTCGTTCTCATTTCTCTTCTGGGAGTCCGTTTTTACCGGAACCGCTCCTTATATATGTATGTATATATATATATATATATATATATATATATATATATATATATATATATATCACTAGGTAGTTAACTCGCTACTCGGAAGTAACTCGGTCAAGGACCGAGTAGCGAGTCGAGTAGGACCGATTACTCGGGATTACTCGATGATTACTCGGCCTTGTATTAATTAAATTTAATAACATAAGTGCCAGAGATTACAGAAATATAAGTCTTAATATTATCTTAAAATGCAAAGAAATGATTAAAATGATAGAAATGCTAATGATGGAGTAGCAAAAGTCATAATAATAAGTAATGGAAGTATCCAAGTAAAAAGTAGTAGTATATTAATGAAGATTTAGTGAGGGAATACAGAAAGTAAGGAAATAAAAGGTTTGAGACTCTTCGAGTGGTCTCTCACTCCCAATATCCCAGTCCCGATCCCAAGTTCTCATCCCATCTACTCACCACTCACCCTTATTTATTCTATTTTTAATGGGCCAGCCCGCTTCTATTTAGTTGCAAGGCCTAAAATCGTATTATTGATTAATATTAAAATAACTTGATAAGACTCTAATTATTTGTAATGTCCATGTCCCTAACACATAAACATCATCTGATTTCTCTTAAGTATAATATTAGCATATTCAGCCCCATTAGAAGCCTGTGTGTATCAACCAATGATGTACCATAGTAAACAATCAATAACGTGATATTAATTAAAAGTTACGTAGTATAATATATATATAGTCATATTAGTGAAAAGATTTTATTTATATCAAAATATATGTGTGTTGATACTTTAAAATAAAAATCAACTGGAGGATGGGAGGGTGGAAGAAGAAGAAACGAGAGAGGGGAGAGGGGAAGATACGAGAAAGAAGATGACAACTTATTGAGAAATTATAGTCACAACTCTAGGGGGATAGTAGATGTCAGAAATTCCGTTTAACTTAGGTTTTGTAACTTAATTTTTCAATTTTTTAAGGGGAACCGAGTTAGACCGAGTAACTCGCCGAGTTGAAAACTTCACCGAGTTGAGAAACTCGTCGAGTACTCGGCGAGTAACTCGGAAATAAAACACGGACCGAGTTAGGTAGCTACTCAACAAGGTCAGTATCCGAGTTGTGAGTACTCGTCGACCGAGTAGATAACCCATAATATATTATGGGTTATCTACTCGGTCGACGAGTACTCACAACTCGGATACTGACCTTGTTGAGTAGCTACCTAACTCGGTCCGTGTTTTATTTCCGAGTTACTCGGTGGGGTAAGGGGGATCGGATTTACGCAGTCTTACCCCTGTACTAAAGCACATAGAGACAATATATATATATATATATATATATATATATATATATATATATAAATATATTTGCTTTTATATTATACTCCGTATACAGTTAAACAAGCTAAAGTGCTGAACACACTGAACTGGAGCGACGAGAACATAGAGGTGTACAAAGAGGCTAGAAGAAGAGCAAAGAAAGCTGTGAAGGAAGCCAAAGTAAAAGTGAATAAGGAATTGTATGTAAAGTTGGATTCTAAGGAAGGAGAAAAAGATATCTACAGACTTGCTCGCCTTCGTGACCGTAGGACTCAAGATATCGGAAAAGTTAAGTGTGTGAAGGATGACGATCAAAGGGTACTAATGGACGACGAAGAAATAAAAGAGAGGTGGAGGTCATACTTTGATACCTTGTTCAACGGGAATAAAGTCCAAGGTATTGATGATCTTACTATACCAGAGTGTATGACAAATAGGGACTTCGTGAGAAGGATTCAAACAACAGAAGTTAAAGAGGCTATGAGAAAAATGGGGCGGAAGAAAGCAGTGGGCCCAGATGGCATACCGATCGAGGCTTGGAGAAGTTTGGGAGAGAAAGACATCGAGTGGCTAACACGTTTCTTCAACATGATTTGGAGAAACAACAAAATGCCAATGAGTTGGCGGAAGAGTACTCTCATTCCCTTATTTAAAAATAAGGGTGATGTGCAAGAATGTGCTAAGTATCGAGGGATTAAGCTTATGAGTCACACCATGAAACTTTGGGAGTGAGTGGTTGAGCAAAGACTACGTAAAAGTGTGAAAATTTCGGAGAATCAATTTGGTTTTATGCCTGGACGCTCAACAACTGAGATCATTCACCTTCTTAGACAAGTTGTGGAGAAGTATAGAGACACTAAAAAGGATCTGCATTTGGTGTTCATTGACTTAGAAAAGGCATATGATAGGGTACCTCGAGAAGTTCTTTGGTGGACCTTAACTAGAAAAGGCATACACGTAAGTATATCAGCATCATCATGGATATGTATGATGCTTGTACTACAAGTGTCCGCACTAGTGTAGGGAGAACCGCAGAGTTCCCTATTACTATTGGAGTGCACCAAGGATCTGCTCTGAGTCCTTTCTTATTTGCTTTAGTCATGGATGAACTTACGAAGTCAATTCAAGAAGATATACCGTGGTGTATGATGTTTGTCGATGATATTGTATTGATTGATGAGACACAATCCGGTGTTAAAGAAAAGTTGGAAGTATGGTGACAAACATTGGAGAGCAAGGGTTTCAAACTGAGCCAAAGCAAGATTGAGTATATGGAGTGCAAGTTTGGTGGAGGTAGGAGCGGTAGCAACAGTGGGATTACTCTTGATGGTAAGGAGATACCGGTGTGTGATATGTTCCGTTACTTGGGATCCATAATTCAGAAGGATGGTGAATTAGATGGAGATGTATGTCATAGAATCAGAGCTGGGTGGTTGAAATGGAAAAGTGCTTCAGGATTTCTATGCGATCGAGGTATGCCGACTAAACTGAAAGGTAAATTTTATCGTACAGCAATTAGGCCGGCATTAATGTATGGCGTAGAGTGTTGGGCGGTGAAGCAATGCCACATTCAAAAGATGAGTGTGACAGAGATGCATATGTTGCGTTGGATGTGTGGAAATACCAGAAAAGACCTCATTCTTGAGGAATGAGGTCATCAGACAAAAGGTGGGAGTAGCACCTATAGAAGATAAGATGCAGGAGTCTCGTTTGCGGTGGTTTGGGCATGTGCATAGAAGACCGAGTGATGCACCTGTCAGACGACTTGAGGGGTGGGGAGAAGAGTCAGAGAGGAGAGGGAGGGGAAGACCCAAACAGACTTGGATTAGAGTAATCAGAACTGAGATGCGTCTTCTTGGGTTGGATGAGACTATGGCTTTGGAGAGAGCAAAGTGGAGGACGCACATCCATGTGGACGATTGATGTCTTGTCTACGTTTCCTCTCTTGTTTGTTTTATCGTTTATCTTCCTTATCTTTTTATATTCTTATGTTATTTTTATCTTCTAGCTTTTTTTATGCTCTTTTATTTATTTTTCTTTTATCTTGGTTATATTTTTGTGTTATTGTTATCTTATATTTATGTATCTTTATTTTATTCATTTTATCTTACTTTTTTTTTCCTTTTCTTGTCCGCCTTCTCTTTTTGGCATCGATATCATAGATCGATTCATGTTAGCTGACCCCAAATTCTTTTGGGATCAAGGCTTGGATGTTGTTGTTGTTGTTGTTGTAGTTACGTATTATTTGAGAGACATTTTTACTCTCAATTCCCATTAATAAACTTTGTTTTCAATTATTAATTGTGAGTTTCAATTCTAATTTATATACAATTTAATTAGTAATATACTATACATAATATATTACATAGTGTGCGAGTAGTCGCCTAATTGTTGCCTAGGCAGGCGCCTTATCGCCTAGGCGATATGGCTGTCGGTTGACGCCGCGACTTGACTTACCGCCGTGACAAGTATGGGTAAAACCATTGAAACCTCAAGTCAAGTACGTAAAAACTCAAGTCAAGTACGTAAAAACTTAAAACCTTGCGTAAAACACTAAGCTATCATCGCTAGCCTGTTAGAGTCTCAGGAAGCCAACCTCGTGATAATGATGATGATAATAATAATAATAATAATAATAATAATAATAAGGCTAAAGGGTCAAATAGGCCCCTGAACGTATACAAATTGCTCAATTCGCACCGCGAACCCAAATAACCTCCGATCCGGCCCACCAACCCCCATTTTTTGTTCAATCCCTACATTTACCCGGTAACCGCCCGTTTTCTCCCCTTAAATGCCCAGTCAGCAAGTTTTTATTTCTATTTAATGCTGACTCATTAATAACCCCAACCCCAAGTTGTCTACGTGTAAAACAATTATCCTACACGAAATAGCCCTAATTTGAAAACGTAAAATTGCAGAAGGCTAAGTTAAGTGACCGAAGTCTTGAGCGCGAAGAGGAAGAACGAAGTCTTGAGCGCGAAGAGGAAGAACGAAGTCTTGAGCGCGAAAAGGAAGAACGAAATAACCCTTGAAGCCGTTAAGGTCAACGAAGTCACTCAGGTTATTCGATTTTACTCCTGTTGTAGTTTTGTGTCTGTAATAGTTTTGAAGCCGTATATGTCGTAGCATAGCGAAGTGTGTTTATGTGTATAATGTGCTAAGACATTTCATGTCCTTCATCTTTCGTACTGTTTTGCTGAGTCATTTATTGTTTTTTTGTTTCAGAATGTGGGAGACATTAGACTTAATTTTGAACTATGGTGGCACCCTTAAAACCTCCTCTCCTATGGAATATAGTAATGGCCGCATAGAGATAATTAAGAGTGACCCTGATGTAGTAAGTTATCCACATCTAAAAAAGTTCATAGAATCTGGACCATTTGGGGGCTTTGGGAAGTTGATGTATAAATTGCCTCGTGAACCTTTGGAATCTTTAAAAGACTTAGTAGATGATGCTTCCACATTGGAGTTGGTTAGTCTGTGTGCTACTGATGGAGTGTGTGAACTGTATTTGCTGCAACCCTCCACAGCATGTAGTGGAGGAGGGGTTCAAAACTGTGAAGACATACCTGATGATGATGAAGATTTGGGGACCCAAACCGATTCTGCTGTTGAGGACAATGTTGAGCTACTTGAGATGGGTTCACAATCTGAGAATGAGGATGTTTTGGATAGTAGGGAGCAAAACAATGCAAACTTTGAAGCTGAGGATGCTGAGTATGAAGATAGCATGGAGATGTATCATTCTGATAATCCTCCCAGTTATACATCAGATACCAATGCTATCAATGAAGATGAAGTGCAATCCAACCTCAATGATTATCATCCTTCATACAATCCAGAAATTGAACCCCCTTTTATTGAGTTGGGAATGCTTTTTGAGGACAACATTCAGTTTAAGAGTGCCATGATCAGGTATGCAGTGCACCACAAGAAAAACATTTATTTTAAAAGGAATGAATCTAAAAGAGTCCAGGCACAATGCATTCAAGAAAACTGTCCCTTCTCTTTTTATGCCAACTGGGAAGATAGGTTCAAATGCTTCCAACTGAAAACCATGATCACCACACACAAATGCAATCCCAAGTTCAAGTTGAGAGTTGTGAGTCGAAAATGGATAGAAGATAAATACGAAGACAAGGTTAGGGATGACCCTTGTATTGGGTATGTGGCATTAAAAGAGCACATAGAGACTGAGTTGGGCATTCACATTGCTGTAAGCATGGTTAGGAGGGCTGTGAGAGGCATTAAGAAGAGAATACATGCCAGCTTTGAAGACCAATTTACTAGGCTTAGAGACTACACTCAAGAGTTGCTAGATTCTATCCCTAACACTACAGTCAAGATAATGACCTCCAGAGTTGTTGATGATGGACCTTGTTTGTTCCAAAGGATATATTGCTCCTTTGGTGCCATGAAAAGAGGATTTTTAGAGGGCTGCAGAAAGATTATTGGGCTAGATGGTTGTTTCTTAAAAGGACTATTGAAGGGGAAAATCCTTACAGCTGTTGGAAGGGATGCTAACAACAACATGTATCCAATTGCATGGGCCATAGTTGAGATTGAAAATACATCTTCCTGGCAATGGTTTTTGGAGTTGTTGAAGCATGATTTGGAAATTGATGATAGCAGCCCCTGGACAGTCATAAGTGATCAACAAAAGGTATGTTACCTACATTGAATAATAATACTTCCCTCAACTGAATTACATAACACTAAATGTGATTACTTAATACTATTTCAGTTTATGTATTGCACTTAATGTATGACTTGTGTGCAGGGTCTTACCAATGTCATCCAGAGCTTACTCCCTCAAGCTGAACATAGAAATTGTGCAAGACACATTCATGCAAACTGGAGCAAGAACCACAGAGGGAAATTCATGAAGCAGTTGTTCTGGATGTGTGCTAGGTCCACATGTGAGGCACAACTTCAGGAGTGGCTTCAAGAGCTTCAAAAAAAGGACCCTGCTGCAAAACAAGATTTGGAAATATATCCTTTCAAAAACTGGTGCAAAGCCTTCATTAGGACTTCTGTGAAATGTGATGCATTTCACAACAACATGTCAGAGGCTTTTAATCGTACATTGGTGGGGTGTAGGAGCAAACCCATCATTCCCATGCTAGAAGACATAAGGATTCAAATGATGTAGAGAATTGCTAAGAAGAGGGACCTAGCTGCAAAATGGAAAGGAAGAATCTGCCCTAACATTAAGAAGATTCTGAATGGTAACACAATGCGAAGTTCAAAGTGGAGGGTGGTATTCAATGGAGATGATGGGTTTGAGGTAAAGAGAGGGAAGTATCAATACAAGGTGAAGCTGGAGGGAGGTACATGCTCTTGCAGATCTTGGGAGTTGACTGAAATTCCATGCCAACATGCTATATGTGCAATGTTTGATCAGGGGAAAGATCCAGAAGGTTATATTGATGACTGTTACTCAATTTCTGCTTTCAAACAAACCTATTCCTACACTTTGGAACCAATCAATGGGGAAATGGCTTGGCCTACCGTTCAAGGAGAGAAAATACACCCCCCTGCACAAAAAAAAATGACTGGACGCTCAAAGAAAAAAAGAGTCCGGGAGGAATCTGAGCCTCCAGCAGGCAAGCTGTCAAGGAAGGGAAGGGTGATGACATGTTCCCTTTGTAAGCAAAAGGGGCATCAACGCCATGTATGTCCAACAGTTGCACCGGGAAGTCATCAATCAGTGAGGGGAGGTAGGGGTTCCAGAGGTGGCAGAGGAGGAAGAGGTGGAAGAGCTGGACGAGGTCAAAGGGTTGTAGGAGCTGGAACAAGTGAACCTTCCGGGGCTTCAAGAGCTGGAAGAGGAAGGGGTGGAAGAGCTGGAAGGGGAAGGGGGGGGGGGGGGTAGAAACTGAATTCAGTAGGGGGTGTATAACAAATGTAATGCATATTTATGATAGCTTGGTCTTTATGGTTTTTGGGTGGTTAAAGTAAAGGTACTGCACTTTGGTGGATGCTGATTTTGGGGCTTTATGTTAGGTGGTTAAAGTAATGGTCTTTATGTGTTTTGACTATGTAATGGTTATTTGGTGAACCTACTTATGTATTCGGATGTGTACTGCTGGGTTTACTAGTTTAATGGTTCACTTTTATGACATATGCATTTTTTCTTCTTTGTAAAGGTGTGGTCTTGCATAAAGTTGTGGGGTCTTGGATATGCATTATTGGTTTGTGGTGGGGTGTGGGTTATAGTCTGGCTTTATTCGTTCCTGCAGCTTAAAGGGTGGGGTGATCTTTGGTTTTAAAAGCAGCCAAGTACTTCTTCAGATTGTACTTGCTTGTTGTACAATTGCTTCTTCAGATTATGGCTCCTTTCTATTCAAGGGCTTTGCCTTTTATCACATGGGTGATGGCACTGATGGGTATGCTTTACAGGCACATGGTTTTATCACTTTTTGATGGAAAAGGGTAAATGTGATGGGTATTTCATGGGTTGTCCGGATTAGGAGTATCCGTTTTTATGGGGTTTTTTGGCTATTTCTGTGTATATCATAATGATAGTGTTTGACAGATGTGATCAAATGGTTGTTTCTCATTTAACAAAGCTGCATTCTTTTACTACATTGTTAAAGTGGTCCAAGTACATTGAAAACTACAAAACCCACTAATCTATTACAATTTCTTAAGAATAAGACCTGCAACAACAAACATCACAACCCCTTGACACATCTCTTCCAAAATGACTTCTCTTTAGCTTCACTTTCAAGAATCAGTTTGATGGTTTGTATGTCACGTTGCATAACTAACATCATCCTTTTGAGGTCATGATTTGAGCATTCTTTTGAACCAGGGCCCCCCATGTATGCTTCTTTCTCTTCATGCAAACCTGCTAAATCCTCTTTCCATACAAAATATCCGCAACCTAAACCGTCCTACAATTATCACACAAACCAATTTGTGTATTATACAAGAAACGAAGAACAAAACTATAAACCAATTCCTCTTTCCAATTTATGTTGCTTCAACAAAGAACATAAAGACTACCAGAACCCCCCCCCATAAAAGCCCTACTTCATTTGTATTACCAAATCAAATTCACAAATACATACCTTCCATCTTTGTCATCCATAAAACTGCCGGTCACTTTCCCGGGTTGTACACAAACGAGCTTTGACACCACACAGACAGTTCGGGTCATACGCACTCAGTTTCCTTCCCAGCGAAGAAGAAGATGAAGCCGCCATGGCTTTCTACGAAGAAGAAGATACGCACTCAGTTTCCTCCAGGTTTTAATGGACTAATATGGTTGGATGGAGTATTTAATGAGTCAACATTCAATGAGATGTAGGTTTAAGGGGAGTTGGGCCAAAACTTGCTGACTGGGCATTTAAGGGGAGAAAACGGGCGGTTACCGGGTAAATGTAGGGATTGAACAAAAAATGGGGGTTGGTGGGCCGGATCGGAGGTTATTTGGGTTCGGGGTGCGAATTGAGCAATTTGTATACGTTCAGGGGCCTATTTGACCCTTTAGCCTAATAATAATAATAATAATAATAATAATAATAATAGTATTAGCTATTATGTTAAAGTGTATTCGGTATTCCAGAAGGAAAGGGAATAATAAGTAGCTAGCTGAATTGTATTTCGGGGGTCGGGTGGACTTCTATAAATAGATAGCTAAAGGAGGAATATGGCAGGCTGTTATTTGGTAGTTGGCTGGCACTGGAGAGTTGACATCTCTTTAACTGTCAGGACACTTTCTCTCTTTTCTGTTGATCGAATAACAAATCTTATTCACTGTTCATCTTCGTTCCTACTTTTCTGCTAAAATTCTCTCTGTCATTCAGTTAGATAATTAACATAGCCATCATCGCTCTTCAGTTTACTCACTCTTCTCACTCAAGCTTCTCTACACCGGGCAGTTCTTTCAGTTTTCTTCATCTCAAGCAAATTCAGTTCTCACTCACAGCACTAAGCAAGATATGTGTTCTTTTTCATGCAGTCCCCTTCATCCAAATACTCATATAGTATATTGTTATGTATATAATAAAGTACTAGTATATTACTATGTATATAATACTCTATATTACTCATAATAAAGTAATAATACTCTGCATTACTCTATATTACTCACAACACTAGTATATTGCTATGTATTTAATAAAGTAATAAAGTAATAATACTCTAATATTACTCACAGCATTAGTATATTGCCATGTATATAATAAAGTCATAGTACTCTGTATTACTGTATAGTACTTGCTGAATTTGGTGTTTTATTTTTGTGACTCATGACTTTATTTTGGCGAATCATGGGTTTTTTATGCATTTGGTTCAATATGATGTTACATACATCACGGTAATTATAGAATAGTATATGTGATTTTATCTAAGTAATGCGCTTCACCCGAGTCAGGCGAGCGCTTTATTTGCGCGAAGCGCCTCAGCCGCTGGAAGGCCCCTAGCGCTTCAAGTGTGCCTTTCGACTTTGACTACCTTGATATTCCAACCTAAAATGACTGAATGAAACCACCAACACCGAGTTAAGTTGCTCGGTTCATTTTAAGTTTTGCATTTCTCAAAACTGGACTGACATTTCAGTTTTGCATTTTTCAAAACCACTGACTAGTGATAAACACCCATGTTCTTAGGTTCACTTCTGAACTTGTGTTATCTTTGAGACTTTGGTGCAATATAACATTAACTTCTAAAATGACTGAAGGAAACCGCCAAAACTGACTTGAGTTGTTCGGTTCATTTTTTAGTTTTTGCATTTCTCAAAGTTAAACTGACATTTCAGTTTTGCATTTTTCAAAACCAAACTGACTAGTGATAAACACCCTTGCTCTTGGGTTCACTTCTGAACTTGTGACATCTTTTAAACTTTGGTGCAATACAACATCAACTGATTAATGTGACAAACAATTAAGATGAACTGAATATAGTTTTGGGAAAGTTCCCGAAATAGTAGTAAATAGGTTTTGGAGTTCCAAAAAGGACTGTCATATTTTTCTTGCCGAAATAAGAGTCATCACTGCCATAATCGAAAAATACTATCATTAGTGACAATAAATACTGCTATGATATGCCTAGTACTGCAACTATTTTGGCAATAATGACTCTAAGATGGTAGTAACTATTGCCAATTTGCCATGCTACTCTTATTTCGGAAAGAAAAACATAGCAGTCCTATTTTGGAATTCTAAAACTTGACTTTTAGTTGAAGTGACTTTGTCTGTGAATGTGTGATTTCATTTCCATTTAGGCGATCCTGCTGGAGCGAGGTTAAAACCTGGAAGTGGCTATGGAGCTGGGCTCGGCATTCGCGTAGACTCGCCTTTGGGGCCTCTAAGACTTGAATATGCCTTTAATGACCAGGGTGTTGGCAGGTTTCACTTTGAGGTTGGCCTACTCAACTGAGTGTTAAGTGTGTTTACCTATGTTTCTTCCTTAGCGGAGCGTACCAATTCATTCCATTACTATTTCAATCCATGGCAACCTTAGAGTTTTCTTTCACTCATTCATTTTATAGTTTGTGTATAGCACTTCTTACTTTCTAGGAACTAATAGCCCGGTGATCCTTCCCCAACCCCTTCCAAAAGGGCCACTGGGAATCCAGGATCGGATCCCATAATCAACATTCAACACCCAAGCTTTTCCTGTAGAACACATTGTGAATGTGGTTCTATTTTGAGTTCTTTTTCGCGTCTCACAAGATCTACCCAAGTGCATTGGAAAAGAATGATTGTAGTCATGCTGATTAGATGCTTTTAATTCCATTGATTCGTCTAAAACATGAAAACAAAATCATCATGGGTTCATTGATTGTTTATGATATTCATCAATGTTTGGTTTATTGCGTCTCCATCCAAAAGTATGCTGCTTGTAACCATTAACTAAAATATGGCGGCTAAGTTTTTGCTAAAATTGTTTGTTCAGTACTGAACTGCTGATAACTCTAAATATAGTGCAGTTATGTCACCACCGGCTTGAGGAGTTGAGGTGTGATTTGAATATACGAAGTAACATGTTAATCCATAAGATTTGGTCTGGTTCATTTAAGTATGGCCTGAGATTGAAACCAGTCTAACTAATATTTTTAATAGAAAGAATAACCCAAATATTACTTCTAGAATATTAATAGGCATAAATATGACTAATTCCCAAAGCCTGTGAACTCTCGTCTACCTCACATGTCTTCTTAAAAAATGGTATTGCCTCTTCGCCTCTTCTTGCTCCCTCTACCTTCTCTTTATTTGCTTGAATGCGTGATGGAAACTTGGGATGGATTGGGATGGGCCTACCTGTCCCTCTACCCAACTTGGCTTGCCACTGCGCAGACCTGGCCCAGTTGATCGAGACCATGCCCAGGGCCTGATTCAAATGAAGCAGGTGGTACCGAGATCCTATTTTGGTGGACTGCCTAGGTTGGGCCCAATGGTCACAATTTTTTTCTTCCATTAGTTTGGCTGCTAGGTGTGGGTGGGTGGGGGTGGGGGCAGGGGTGGATCTAGCAATGTCAATCAAGTTGGGCCAAAATTTGATTAAACAACGTATATTGCAAAAAAATGTCAAAATGTAGTAAAACTCCCTCCGTATTTTAATGGTTTGTCAAGTTTGATCGGCATATAGACTAATAAAGTAAAAATTATGTGGTAGAGATTTGTACAAATGAGAGAAATAATAGGAATCACAAATTGATTGACTAAAAGGGAAAATGACAAAAGTTTTGGGACAATAAAAAAAAGAAAGTTGACAAAGTTATAAGGGAGGGAGGGAGTGTTATTTAACAAAATTTATTTTCAAATATAAAATAAAATCTTTTGCAACATAAATGTCAAAGGCAAAAATAAATATAACAAGAATAATAATTTTTGTCGAAGACAAAAACACCTCAAAAGCATACATATTAAACTAATTTTTACCTACCAAGCCCAATGAATTGAACAAATTAATTTTTCAGACTAATACTCAAAAGCCCAAGAACGTTCACAATATTAGTATCTAGCTCATTCACCGTTTGAGATTGGTGTTAAATTTGTATTAATTAAACTTAAGACCAAGTTTAAATTTATATGTTTGAGGAAGAATCCTTTTATTCTTCTAGGGTGAGACAGAGTTTTTAGAAGTAAAAAACTGAATGTTTACACTATTGAAAAGTTAAAAAGACATGCTACGTATACATATTAAACTAATTTTTACCTACCAAGTCCAATGAATTGAACAAATTAATTTTTCAGACTAATACTCAAAAGTCCAAGAACGTTCACAATATTAGTATCTAGCTCATTCACAGTTTGAGATTGGTGTTAAACTTGTATTAATTAAACTTAAAACCAAGTTTAAATTTATATGTTTGAGGAAGAATCCTTTTTTTCTTCTAGGGTGAGACAGAGTTTTTAGAAGTAAAAAACTGAATGTTTACACTATTGAAAAGTTAAAAAGACACGCTGTAACTGGGATTTGAACAAGGGACATGCAGGCCAACATGGCAGCCTACTTCCATCTTGCTAACATGGAATTTATGTTCAAATTGACTTTCTTTGTAATTATACCATTATTTAAGAACACTACATATAATACATATATATACTACGGAGTAGTAAATTTTTTCCAGATTAATACTCAAAATCCCAAGAACGTTCACAATATTAGTGTCTAGCTCATTCACCGTTTGAGATTGGTGTTAAACTTGTATTAATTAAACTTAAGACCAAGTTTAAATTTATATGTTTGAGGAAGAATCCTTTTATTCTTCTAGGGTGAGACAAAGAGTTTTTAGAAGTAAAAAAGATTTGAACAAGGGACATGCAGGCCAACACGGCAGCCTACTTTAATTTCATCTTGCTAACATGGAGTTTATGTTCAAATTGACTTTCTTTGTAATTATACCATTATTTAAGAACACTACATATAATACATATATATACTAGTATTTCTTTTTGAGGTTGGGCATGGACCTTCCCTGGTTTACAGCCAGATCCGCCCTTGGCTCGGTGGGTGGGTGGTTTGGAGGGATTTGGGGGGTGGGGGGTGTGGGGGTGGAATTAATTTTAAAAAAATAACAAAAAATAAAAATAAGTCCGGTCCGACTCAGGCCTGGATCGAGGCCCAGTCGGGTAGCTCGGACTGGACCCGATACCGCTACAAACTGGGTCGGTATCGGGCTTGATAATCTTTGACCCGCAGCCCGCTAGGGCCTGACCCGAGGCCTGACTCGGCCCGTCCCAGTCCACCCATAATGGAAACTATGGTGAATGATGTTTTAGGGTTTCGTCAACTAGATGGAGACTCAGTGATGGTGGCTATGGTTCGGCTAGAGTGTCAGATTCGAGTGGTGGATTGAATTCGAGTGCTGGAAATGGCGAATTCGAGCGGCACCTCAGGGTAAGGATAGAGGAGGAAGGCAGTGGCAAATCTAGACAATATGGTGTGGTGATGATGGGGTGCTGGTATTGTCGGCTCAGGTGAGACTAGCGGTGGGTGTGGCAAAGGGTAGCGCTGAGGCCTGCGTTGGGTTGGTGGGGCAGGGATGAGATGGTGGAGGATGGTGGGCGAGGGGGTGGGGCTACGATTGGAGTTGAGCAGGGGGCTAGAGAGGGAGAATGGGTGGCCAATCAATGGAGGTCGCAACAACGATGGTCACCAAAGGGACATGGCGACAACGGTTTTCACCGGGAGGGATGAGGCTGGTAGCGAGAGTGGTCGTTGGAAGGGACAAGGCGACAATCATTGAACGGGGTGGGCGATGGTAAGGTCATGTTGGCAATGTCACTATGGCTGTGTCACAATGGTCAGAGTCACAATCGCTGGAGTCCCGGAGTCAATGGGTCACTAAACTATGTCACAGGAGGGTAGGCGTGGACCCAACCCGACTGTTCGATCGGGAACCAGGTTTTGGCACTGTTTGGGACCAGACCATGTTTAGAATTTCAGGTTTCAGACTTGGGACCGGCCTTGTCCGCCCAAGAGCGGTTCACGGTCTTGGCTCACCTCTCTTGGGGATCGGACCAAGCAGTTCCGATCCGAGACTTGCCAATTATTTTAAGCTTGAAACAATGTAACACCCCCCCATCCAAAAATAAAACAAAAAATATAACGCGTTCGGGTCTGGGCCACCCGTGTACTCAAAACAGGGTCGCCCGGGTACCCGAAACTAGCCTAGACATGGAAAATAACGTGTCGGTCCTGAGCCGACCAATTTTTTTTTTTGGACTGTAGAAATTGCTACAATATAATATCTATTGTAACATTATTGCACTAAGAAATGCTATAATAAACTGATAAATTGCTACAATACATCTATTGTAACATCAATCAGATGCAACATACTAAAAATGCTACATTTGATTTATTGTGACATTTTTTGCACCTATCATATGATTTTGCATATGTTATAAAAACTATACTTTGAACCCTTTTGATAATACTCAAATCGGCTGCATTCACTTGTTCTGCTGAAATTTATGAAGTTCTGGTTGAAGTGACTGATTTGCTGATTTATGAAAAAAATGTATTTAAAATAGATTTTATTAATTAAATAAAGAAAAATTTATATGAAACACATAGTTTTCTTAATACAATCATAGCTCTAACCTTATTTTTTCTTAATATTACACAATTCAACGCCCAAAATAAAAAAGGGAGAACTATCAAATAAGCCCTCGAACTTACATAAAAAGTGCAAATAAGCCCTTTTATAGGAGGCTCTGTCCGGATGTCGCCATTTGGGGCGGTTCCCTGTGAAATATTTGGATATAACTTTTTGAGCATCTTATTCATCAAGTCTAGTTTACTCATACCAAATGTCAGCTAAAAATTCAATCGGGAAGGCAGTCAAATGATTTTTTTAAGATAACTTCACAGTTAGACAACACAGTATATTTTAGAAAATCATTTGTCTGCCTTCTCGGTTGAATTTTTAGCTAAAATTTGGTATGGGTAAACTAGACTTAATGAAGAAGATGATCAAAGAATTTCATCGAAAAGTTCATCCGGAAACCGCCCCAAATGGCGACAGCCGGTCAGAGCCTCCTATAAAAGGGTTGATTTGCACTTTTTATGTAAGTTTGAGGGCTTAGTTGATAGTTCTCCCAATAAAAAATTACGTGTTTGATGAAAAAATTGACTGATAAACCCGATAAGCCGAAAAACATAATTCCCAAGTACACATGCTCATTATTGCAGTTGTAGTAAAAAAAATCATAGCTGGAAGTACTCTTTTCCCACCTGCTCCAGCCGAGGTTTTCTGCCGCCCAAAGTGCTCTTTTCCCACATGCTCCAGCGGTCCAGCCACAGAGAGAGGATCCACTATCTCTTTCCCGCATCTCTCATTGTCACCAACTTGCCGCAAGTCATCGCTGGAAGATCGCAGCTACTAGCTCACCTCCCACCGCCGCTGCATATCACTCGCTACTGTTGATGGCTGGGCATGTTGTCTTTAGTCAATTGTAGCCGGGCATAACTCCAGGTATTCTATTCATATTAGAAGATTCAATCTCTTCTTCATCTTCTTACAAAAGTTTCTATTATACTCTGGTATTATTATATAGCAATGCTAATTCTATCCCTTAATCAAAGATTGTGTTTCTTGAACATCATTGATTTTTTTTTGAGATTAAGTTGTCATTTTTTTAATTAAATCTATTTCTTGCACACCATGTGTTTGATGTTATGCCTCATTCATTTTTTTGAGATAGATGCAATTTTTGATTATAATTCCGTAATGCTATATGTTATAATCATATAGTTGGAATCAATATCACATTATGCATCCTTCTTCCTTTTATACATCCATGTGATCATATTTTTCCGTAAAGCTATATGCCATATACATATAGTTGGAATGAAAGAGCTAGCACACAAATTAATCTTATTTTCATGCACTTTATATGATTATACTTTCTGTAAAGCTATATG